ATAACTGTAAGGTTTAAATGCAACACTGCACACATAACACATACAAAAAAAACAAATCATAAAAGTATACCTACTTTCACACACGACTACTAAATGACTTTAGTATAATTTAAAACTAATTATAATTAAGGTAACAGTTTACATTCATAATAATCTGTATAAACATGTATTTCAATTAACCCCTGTTACAAAACGTGGTAAGTTTATCAATAAATCATGTTAAGTATCGGATAGTAAAGCATATCAGGATTAAAAAGTTATAGATTAATACCTACATGGAAGATAATATTATGCATTTTTTTTTCATTTTTTTATAAATGGGAGTTAAGTTTACGAAAATCTAAATACTAGTCTACAGATTATGTCTGAGTATTGCCCGAGCGGCTAAAAGAAAGCAAGAGATCGAACATTCACAACTAAACCAAACTCTAAAATAACCCATAAGTTCAATTATCACAAGTTACCAATACAGACTTGTAACGTGCACATAGAATTGTAGACTCGATTCTACGTTGATATAATATAATATTATGTTTTGTATGTATATGAAAAATGTAAGATACAATTTTACTAGCTATTCATGAACTCTAACAGCACTATAAAAATACGGCGTTTGTTATGTATAAAATATAGCATACTACATAATATAATAATATCTGTTTACAATATATAAAACTTTTAATGAAAACGTGTAAACATGCACTTGGGTTTCGGTATCTATTGCTAGTCTGCTAGCTGAATATATTTCATCTAAGTAGGAAGACTTTTCAATGGTTTTAAAATCGTCGTCCTGTTAAAGTACAAGACGTATCTTTAGTAACACCCTGGTGACGCCCATGTGAGCCGATAAAATTCAAATCGTATTTCAGTTACAACATTTGCCCGATAAAAATGTTTTTAAAAATAAATGTCAAATATAGGAAGATAATTAATGGTATAAGTCATAAGAAATTTTAATTTGTTAACAGCAACGGTCGAAGTGTTTAGTTTTCTTTATTAAATTGAATTACTCTTGGCTGGGGCTACGCCTGTTTGGTTACTATATCTATTATGGCAATAATAACCTGTGGCATGTTGCCATATGCAATGTAAAATTATTTACACCATACAACAGTAACGTGTAAACAGTTCTTGGTACAACAGAGTACCTAAATAGTTAATAATACTTTAGTAAACGTTCTTACAACCGTTGCAAAGATTATTATTACATCAAATATAATGAACTTTAACAAGAATCGCAACAGTATAATCCCGAGGCTTCCATTTCACGAGTGACTGAATCTTTGAAATATCGTTATTGAACCAATTCAATCTCTTACAGGAATCTGTTCAAATTATCTTACAAATTAGGAACTTGGTACAATGTCATCACATATTTTGTCCAACATTAGAAGCTACAGATATTTAAACTGTGCGTATCAAGAAACCCAATGTTACATATCATTCTCAAAACTTAATATCAAATAACTGTATAATGACAAATACGAAGATATAAGACGGCTATTGGAGGGACAGTATAAAACATCAATTATAGCTAATTTCTCAAAAAGGAGGAAAACGTTTCAATGTAAACTTAAGCTCATAGATATTACAACTCATTTTCCTAGATCAACAAAAATACGAACACAACGTAGTCCAACACATTTCTAGCGTCGAAGAAAGACTTCAGCATAAAAACAATGGAAGAGGCTTAATTATTGCTATCCTAGTAATTTGATTAAGATTAATAATAAAACTACATACGATTTACTCACATTACTACAAAATCACGCGTAACTAACACTACTAACATATATCTTACTTTTGTACCTTGCTTTGTAATTGCGATCATTTTGATTAATTTTGTTCCTTTCAGTATGAAAAACTGTAAACATTTCACTTGTTGTAGTCAATGTTGAGGAAAACGCCTACTAGCTCTAGCTGTCTATGCCACATGCATTACACTTGTATATCGGTAATCTAGCTAGCCTGTAACTACAAGTAATAGACAAATATGCATTGTGACTATGTTTCTGTGAATACGGTGCATAACAAGGGTCGAATACGAAGACCTTCCTTGCAACAGAAACCTAGTCAACGTTCATGTAAAAATCACTTGTATCAATATGATGTAAATTGCTATATACTTACTGAAGCTAATTCTGTCATTACTCCGTCTAAATCTAAATGATAAATCAAAATATGCAACTATTGTGAGGTGTATAGAATATGTACAATCGTTTTCATTTCAATAGGAATATAATATATTATAGGTACCACACACAGTGTGATACAAGGTCACTTGTTCTATTTTGGTATTTTTATCTTTTTTAGGCACTCTGTCAAGGTAATTTTTGTAATAATTAGTTACATCTTATACTAAGAGAAGCTGGGGCTAAGATGGCTTCTTTAAAGTTCATAGCGAGCGATACACAGCAAATTTATGTAAGGCCGTATATGTGTTTAATCATCCAGACTTCTGAATTCCCTATGAAAGGACAATTTATGTATGATAACCACGTATACGTCAAGTACTCCAATCTTATTTAGGCATTGCTTGGTTTCATATACAGACACTATATACATATATAAAATTCATTAACTTCTTAAACATCGAAAGATACCCTAAATTACATTTGCTGATTTTGGTATAATACGCATACAGCGCTTCTATCATAATTCGTTATCGGAATGGAGTTCTGTCACTAGCAATAACTACTATATATAATGCATATCTCTGCTCTACCTACAGCTGTATAAAAGCCGGTAAATAATATCTACAGCAGAGCGCAACAACTTCTTAGTTAAAAGTACTATGTAAATATTTATAAAAAGTATTATTCATATAACAAGTAGTACTCTACTAATATAATGTTTTTCGGCTTACTCACGTAATTATTTGACGAGGAACTCGACTAGTAGTAGCGCGACGGTCACCGCGTCGCGGGTCGCGGGTGCTGCTCCTGACTATGAGTCTCTAGCATGGATTGAATCTAGTCGAGTTCCACATCAAATAATTACTTGACTAAACCGAAAAACATAATATTAATATAGTATGTCACACGAAAGTTACAATATAAGCAGTACTCTAAATTGCTATAAAATATTAACAATTTCAATTTTTCTTCCTTGTCATGAAGACAAATTAATATTTCCGAAGCCGTGTTCTCAGGCAGGTACTTAATGCGCGCGTTTTAACTCTAGGCATGAGAAGCACTTCACTTGTCAACAGTCACTATATTGCTATCTAACAAATATACGAAATCTGGAGTATAAAGCCACGGTTATCCCCCAAAGGGTTAGGCGGAATTATCATATTATATATCTCTTCGCCTGGCAATCAGGCAACGGTACTGTACCTGACTCGTAGACCTCAGAACAGTTCGGTAATCGTGCTTGCTTTCTCGATCAGCGAGTTAAGTACTATATGTTTGAACGAAAGCCATCTTAGCTCCTGCCTATTCGCAATTCCTTAGAGATCCGTAAGACAGGTACTTTAAACTTTTTTTCAAAAAACGATTGTACTATTGCACTGTTTAGGTTATGTACGGCTATGATATGACTATAAAAATATTAACTATAGAAAATATTTCATATGATACACTGGAGCAACTGTATATAACTATGAATTTACCTTAAATATTTATTGCTTTTAGTTTTACATACATTTATGACTATAACAGCTAACAATATGTGAAGTGTTGTATTACGAAACGAATGTGTTCGATGCGGTGAGACACGCGTAGTGTTCGTGTCGTACAGTGGAGTCAATTTAACTTGAACAAAATTTATAGCACACGCTAATTGTATGGTAAATAACCTAAATATAACTAACACATTGTTCCCATGCAAACTAAAAGAAATGTAAATGATCATAATGAACAAATTATATGCTGTCCAGTACTAGATATAGTGACGCAAGGTCGAACTTCGTGAATGACGAGCTAACGCTGACCTGTCGTGCTGTACAGATTCATACGAGTCTCATAACGAGACGAAATAATGTGCGCTCTATATCTAATAATTACCTAAAGTGTCCTCAAATACAAATCGATGACAACATGCCCCACGGTGGTACCTCTCCCACTGACACTTAATTTTGAGCAAAGTGAGTCGAAGTTGTGACTCAAGGGTGTATTGCTTTCAGTGTCAGGGCCAATAAAATATTCTGGACAACTTTACTCAAAATTAATAAACACTATAAACTATGTCAGTCGCCCAGTACAGACTGACCACACGCTTTTAGAATGAGTCGATACAAACTGGACACAAAACGTAATGTACTTATACCTAAATACAAATCAATGATACAATAAAAATAATGATCAAAGTACACGGCATTGTACGCAATACATATTACTTTGACTAATATAACTTGAGGCACAAGAACACTATGGCAATATTAAAAGTCTTGTGGCCAATCATATCAGAAAAGTCAAGAGTATGTCATACATATAATGCCGTATAAAAATATTCGTTCGCACACAAGCGTAGCGGAAGCTTGTTATGAAACGCTTGGAGGATGAATAGATAAAGCGTAAACGATATGCTTAAACGACTCACGCTACGACATGTGTACGAACAAACAAAATCAAACTGTACCTGTACCATGAGTTGAAGCAATAGTTAATAGATTAATAGACGAGGTATTTTTTTTGTATAGCAAACTAACTTCTGACAGCGGCTTCGGCCGCGGTCCTGGCCTATATTTTATTCCAGACCATAGTCTACCACTTTTCCAAATCTTATCCCGATCCCTTTTGTCGTTTTAACGTGATTGAGTAACAACCAAACACACACATTCAAACTTTCTTATTTATAATATTACTAAGACAGTTCCACTGTAGAACTTACTATACACAAAGACAAGTATTATTGCTTTAAAGTCATGATAGAGGTACTGGAAGTAGAAAAAAGCGTTAAAATTACGAGTAGGTTTGTGAAGCGACTGTCTAAATAGCGTGGGTGGTCTATACCCAGACGGGATACTTGACGCCACGCGGAGACAGTGAGCACCGGTGTTATGGGCGGTGGAGGAGCGGCGTGTCCTCGCCCTCCGCGCTGTCCCACCGCCCCGTCCGCGGCCGCTCGCTGCATTTGTTCGTACAACACGACACGTTCTGACCCGCCTGGAACGTTACAAAAAATACATCTATTAAACTGGGGCATTGTAGAATTTACACTCTTTTCGGTAGGTAATTGACAAATGTAAAACAAATGTTACTTTACCCGTTCCTAAAACAATGGATAACATTTTTGTATCACTGAGCTGTTTGTTTTATTTCGGTACACAAAGTTGCTATATATTTGAAAGCATATTTCTAGTGAAAAGTTCAATAAACATAGAAGTTATAAAATAAAAGGGCGAGACCTTACGACGAAATTGTAAGCCAAAAATATTGTGCTTTTCATAGCTATCTGTAATCAAGGAACAGTACTCTGGATCTCACTGAATTTTTTTTATTGAAGACCAAACATCACTGTACTCTTTTTTATGCCAATTTTTTCAAAGAAAAATCAATTCATCACCCATACCTGAGTCAGATGCAGATCGTACAGATGTAGCGTGCTAACAGACATGTCCTGGGTGTCGTCTCCAGGCTGCCTCGGTGCTTCAGTGCTAAGAACACTAGTACTTAGTACCGAGCTGACTCCCGCCAGGCCGAGGGGAGTGTTAGACTGGGCCGAGCGAGTCGGACCAGAGGGGGGAGCATCGTCTTCATCACTAGTTTCGTCCATGTCCTTTAAAAAGGAAAGTATTAGAGGTGTGTATGAATTTGAGTTATATTGATAAGAGTATTGGATACTACACATATGAGACACGACAGACTAAATTATAGTTTTATTTGTATTCTAGTCTCAGACTTTGCAATTAGGTCTCAAATCGATATGAATAGAAAAACTGTTCACACTTTGTTAACATTGTGTTACGTACGACGCTATAAGAATCTACACCTTGTTAACTAAACTTTATAGTTCAATATCCTGTACAAAAATATAAACAAATTTATATGTAAAGGAGAACGGCAGATTTTGTACCGCTTCGCTAAAAAAAGATTTGTCATTAAAAAATTGGGTCATTATAGAACCTCCTAAGTACGTTATGTTAGCATATTTAATAGATTTTTAGAACTTGGGAAACCCTAGAAAAACTGATATTCAATAATGATAAAAAGCAATCCACTATAAACGTAAAACGAACCGCGATTGACGTTTACAAAGTTGCCATGCGTAAAGATGAAATCAGAGCATATTGAATTTCGCTATTTCATAAACTCATTTATTTTAATATCTATCAATGAAATATTTTCCTTTCCATTTCAAACATTTTTATAAGTAAATATAAAAATCTACATCCAATCTAAATCTACGTCTACATGGATTATTAATGATAATATTAACATTTTAACAAACTTGAATATGGCAATGTTGAACTGGCATTTGTCTTGATGACATTGACAATTAATTTGTCAAATGTCAATACTGGCGCATTGCTGTTTGTTTCAAATGCGATGTTATGATGTGTTTGTTGAATTTGAAGTTATTTTATTCATCTGGTGATACGTTGAGTTTGGCAACCGTTCCTCCGTAGCCCAAATTGGTGTTATTGGCATCATTGTTGTGACAATTGCGAAAAGACACTTATTTACATTATTTTAGGCATAGTGTGTTGTAATTTGTCGCGATGATGAATTTACAGTGCATTAATTGCATCAGAGTTTGTCGCACATGAGACGGCATGCTCTAGGAAATGAGAGTGAAGATTAGACGTGGTCAACAATATCCCATTGTGGACTTATCCTAGAGATGTAAGTACCTAGTTTACCCATAACATATCGAAAGTCACCATGTTGCCTGAATAAAAGAAGGCGCATAGTGTTATCTACCCATAATGTATCATTTTATTCTTTTTATTCTAGATCTCTCCTACCGACTATATTTGCAATGCTTGCTGGCAATTAGCAATGTATCGGGATGTTGCTGAAAGCATGTCCAGCAAACAAATTGGTCACTGGCATGTTTGTGTCGTATATGGGTGATTCATTGCAATGATAAGGTGACGCAGGGTTTTAATTGAAGGTGCCAACAAACAGGAGTAAAGACTGGCTCATATAGTATTTGATTGGATTCAGCCACAAGAGGTAATAAAGCAATTTAACCATACTATTATCTATATACAGTGTAATCTAAAGTCAATATCATATTCTAATAATATTACTTATTTTAGCTTACTTCCCATGATGAAGATCATGTTCCATACTGACTGAGAGACCGTACAAGAGTCGAAACTATAAAACTACAACCTGACATACCACCTCACAGTGTTCACTATCAGGAAGTAATGTGTTATGTAAACATGGACTAAGCCTCACTTTAACATTGCCATTTGTAGAACAGATGAGGCCGGAAGATGTTGTTCGGCTCTCAAAGCTTCAACAGGTATGCATTCTCATTATAATGTACCTACATAATTATGTATCTATGTGGAGTATATAAGTGGTTTCTAATAGGTTTATACTCATGTTATAATTATAATTTATTAATTAGCATGCTGTTTGAGCTCCTATGATCTGTGTTATACGAATAACTATAAATGTTATAAAATCAAGTAATGTAATCAAATATTTATTTTTATCTTTTCCATTTTAAGATAGGGAATCAGACATATTATTATAACATATAAAACTAAAGGAAAAAAATTTACTTTTGTTTACTTTATTTACAGTTATCTTACTTGTTTACAGATATCAGCAATTGATGTCTGCTGTACCTATGACACTGCCTGTTCTCTTTTTAGATGAAGTAGTCCTAGAAACAACCTGAATACAATGAAATAAAAGTATGTCAAAATAATACATTTGTTTTATTTTAACCTAGTAAGTAACTATATAATATTCCATCTTGATAAAAGTGATTTTAAGAATGAATCTATAAAATAAATGCCATATTAAACTGTCAAACACCAAGCGGTCACCGGTGACCGCGACCTATTGTTCTTTAATTGTGTCTATAAAACTGGTACTCGACGAGTTAAAAAGCTATCTAAGCTTTAATTTTATACCAAAAATGTTCATTTTCATTTTACATTTTCTTTAATTGTAATGTGGTGGCCCAGAGGTTTAAGAAGCCCGCTTCTCATGCATGAGAGTGCGGGTTCGAAACCTACCAACGGCAAAGTACCAATGTGTCTTTTTTTCGAGTTATTTGTATATTCAATAATCTAAGAAAGTACAAAGACACCGCTGACGAATGGTGAAGGAAAACATTGTGAGGAAACATGGGCTTATAATTTCTTATTATAAGTTTGAATTACCAACCCACATTGAGCTAGTATGGTGATTAATGCTCAAACCTCCATGCGAGAAGAGGCTTCGGTCAGCAGTGGCCACTTATAGACTTAATGATGAAAATGTTGATGATTCTACTAATTTGACTTACTTATTAGAAATTAATCCTTACACGCGTGCTAAGCAACCAGTTTTCAGAAGAAATACTTTCTCAAAGAGCTAAGCTAAGTTTAAATCGAATTAACTTGAGACCTTTGAGACTATCTACCTGCAAGATTCAAGGTGAAGTGAGACTAGTTTTATCATATCCGCCACAAGACTTCCACTGCTAAATGTAGGCCTTCTACCCAATGACAGTCACTTACATTATGAATTTGCATTTTCGTAGGCACCTAAGAAATGAAAAAGATTGTGAGGCATACTCTTTAAAACTCTATAGGTACATCATGCTTGCTGAATTAACAGGATCATTCCTAATAATACAAAGTGTAATAGTCACTTGAGTAGCGAGCAGTATTTTTAGATTTTTGTTTTTTGTAAATAAAAAACCACATGAGAGCACATTGACATTTTTCAGTTAACTGTCATCTGTCATTTGTAATAGATATTTTGCTTACGGTGGCTCTACACTTGACGTTGCGTATTTGTTGTGTTCGGCCAAAAAAGAACATGTTTGGAGGATTTATTCTTCTTTGTTTGCTATATATTTGCACGCCATTACATATAGAGATACTATTTGGACGCCATTTGTACGTAGTCTACAAATATTTGGACAAATGTAGCGACTACGCAATGTCAAGTGTGGTACCACCTTAACGTACCTTTTGCACATTTTCAAAGTGAAATAACTTTTGAACCCCAACTTCTAAAAATATGTAATTTTTTTCATAACTTCATAACAAAAATATCTATCGTTCAGACTATTCACTTGGTTAAAACAATGATTAATACAAAATTTTATAGCGGTACAAAACTTCTATACAAACCTGCCATTCTCCTTTATGGAAGAGAAAATAAGTAAAGGTAAACTTACTGGCAATCTATACGGCTGCTTCTGCTGTGGGTAATAAGAGAGCACTGCTGGCAACGGTGTGATAGCACCAAATAAACTTTGTTGAATGTACGAGCCCAGCATCGTTTTATTCTGAAACAAACAAACATGCATTATATTTATTTTTCCATGGGGCTTTTCCAATATGTCAGTCATTGTATTTACTTAATGTATACACACACAGTCTTTAAAAAAAACATATAATATCTACTTACAAGATGGTTATTGGCCGGTATAGCATGGTGCATGCTCTGACGCAATGACCTGAGGAACTGACGCTGCGATGGCTCGGTGGGTTGCCATCCAGGGTGGCGGCAGGAGAATGCTACTAGTGAGAGCTCCGTCTTGCCACCTTCGCCCTGATCGTATTGCGCGTTTGCTGTGGCTCCTGGAAACAATGATTGAGTTAGGTTAGTCTAAATTTAAACCAAATATTTAAATAGTATAATAGTACGAAAATGAATTGGAAATATCTGATTATGCGTAGTTGGAAAGGCATTTACGGATCTTGGGTGTTATCTATTAGCATCCCTTTTTAACTGTTCTTGAATAAAGATCTAGCCATTAAGTGGTTCTGTAATATGGGGCTAAGAAAGGAGATTCATTACGACATATTGTAAAGAGTAAAGTGTGAAAAAGTTATTACAATTTCTGTAATTTTACAGTATCATATCAAGTTGTTAAACCTGCGAGGTTATTATGACGTCCTAAAGTCAAAATGGTTGCATCGAGGGAAAGAAACAGAGGTATACAAGTCGTCTAGCGAGATCGCGTTCCCTCAGCGGAACCACTCTGGCTTTAAGACGTCATAATACGCCACCTGTTGAGGATAAAAATAAATACAAACCTTTCAATTTGCCGGGTGTATGCCAATCTGGGTGACCGTGTCGTCGGATGTCCAGCTGAAAGCAATAAAATGTGTTAATGAATAAATCATTTCAGTTCAGGGCGCTTACTCTTGAAACCAATCTCAATGTCAATGCAATTTCAATCCAAAAAAATCTCAATAATTATTCTATGTCAATATGATACAACCACAATCGTAGCTGTTAAAATAGCGCACGGAAACGTTCAGAGTACGGAATGTAAAGCCAAACTCAATACAATTTAGTTCATTATATATTCACGCAATACAGATGCAATGTGCACTAGTATTGTGTAGTGTTGTGTAAATTTTACAATACCAATGTCTATCGATCGTAATTGGATTCAAGAGTAAGCCCCCTGGTTTTGTGGTACCATTTTTGTATCTGTTAATAAGGAACATCTGTTGACATTGAGACAAAGCCGCGCCGCACACGATGCTTATAAATATGAATCCCAGTGTAAACTGAGACTAACTCAGATTTTCTCCATTAGTAGTGTTTAAGCCGTGTATTTCAAATATATAATTTACTTTTTTATATGTAAAGGGCAGACATTATACCTGTGCGAATGAACAAACATCGCCAATGCCAAGTACGCTAACAGTGAAATTGCGGTAAAAGTCCACGATGTCCAGAGCTCGGGAACGAAGCGAGAACAATATCAGTGGGCATAGTAACGGACTCAGCAGCTCGAAGAAGATGTATACCTGTAATAAGGAGTTATTACTTCAAATAATAATGTTCCATAACCAGTGGAGTATCGGAAAGCAGATCTACGCGAGACAAATGTGTTTTCTATTGTGTATCATATATTGACAGACAAGTAGTTAATAGATTCTTGTTCCCAAAGGAATCCATGCAGTGGTGTACGTAATAAGGTATTTAAAACTTCTATAAAAAGTATGTTCTCATTGTTCATCATTGTTGACGGTGCAGATTAATAGGAAAAGGTTCTAAAGATGGAATACGGAAGTACTTTTGAAGGCAAAGCCCCTAACGTAGCTGGTAACTCATGGTCTTTTTAGATCTGAATGTAGCTAGTTAGCTAGAAAATGAATGTAGCTCACGAAATTATACATCGAGTTTGATGCGATTTTCTTAAGCGAGTTTTCGTAATATTTTTAGGAGTTACAAGTAATTATCGATTTAGAAGTAATAATATACTCACGGCTCTAAACTGGAAGAGTTGTTGGAAGTGAGCGGCGACGTCCTTGGTATGGGCGCGTCCTCTCCAGGCGGCGGGGAGATAGTGTACGTGACCGAGGACCTGGACAAACAGTTCCTCACCTCGAGCAGGACCTGTGCACCCACCACCTAACCGTTCTTCCTCTCCAATTAGAGCTCTGGCAGCAGCTAGAACGCAGCCAAGTATGGTGATAATACTCAGCACATGTTCCACTGTCAGTACATCTTCATCGTACACCGACAGCACAACTAGCACGCCCAGGATACTCGCCGATAGAAACACGACGTTCCTGAAATATTTAACAACCATTTAGACATGGAAACTAAACGACAAAAGTCGCATTTGTATTGGATTACGATCGTATAGTGTTTGAAAACAATGGTAAGGGGACGGCCTAAAAGCTTTGCGGCAATGACACTCGCAGCAGTTTTATAGATAAACCTAGATTAAAAATAAGATAATTTCTAAGCCACATTTTAATCACCAGATTAAAACGACTGAAGATTATAAATAATCGATTAAATCTTATTTGAAGTCCTCCAAAATCAACATCCGAGCTATTAAACATTACTCTAACGTGATTTATGAATTCACTAGCTTCTGCATGTGGCTTCGTTAGCAGTCTCTTGGGATAAAAGTAGACTACGTCTTATTCCCGACCATATAATGTACATCTGTCTCGAATTGTTTTGACATGATTGCGAAACAAACATAAACACTAACTTACTAACAAACTTTCGCATTTTTAATATGAATAAGGTAATAAAACCTACTTATTATTGCAACTGCATACAGACAATGTACGCCAGTGACGTCACTCTCTACGTCACCCAACACACGCTGAGAGAGAATCGAGTAACGGAATAAGTGCCAATTTGCATGACTTTTATTTTAGACAAAAATACATTGAGACGTAAAAATAACATTGCGTTGTTTACGCAATATATTTTTACTAGATAAATAAAATACTTTGGCGTTGTTACAATTTCTGTAAAGTCATGGTTTGAATAATATAATTATGTAGCAGTAAATATTGTAGTGACTTGTTTGTATTGACGTAATCTGGTTTAGTAATTACTACTTATGTACTTACATAGGTTTTGCATCGACATTGGAGTCGCAGTTATCTGTTTATCGTGAGATTTTATGACATGTCCTACGGCCTCCTTACAAAATCCTACATTTTTGTGTAATTGGTATAGGTAAATAGGATGCAATATTCATAGAAACATTCTTTGCTTACAACCACATGAATAGTTTAAGATATGATTATGGGTATGTCCCATAATCGTCCCTCAATTTTAAGACGCGCGTTAGTGTAGTTCTGCCACAACAATTTCTTTGTAAAATTACAGAGATGGCACGATGAGTAGCCTTTCAGTGTTCAGGCGTTAATCGCGTACCAAGATAAAGTTGAAACTATAATTATAAAAGTATTTGCTTGGCGACAATTTGCACTATTTCATTACATTTCCAAGTGGCAATAAATCAAAGGAAAGATAACTAGTGAATACTATTTATATGAACCACTAGAAGACATTTGCGTGTGAGTCAATGAATTATGAATCACTCGAGCTACGCGTGACACTACCCTAGTTTGCCAATAATACGTCTATTAATCTTGTTTATATTACCTAATTAAAGTGCACCTATAAACAAGTAATTGCTTTTATCATTTGTAAGTATTCAGGTTACCTACATTTGGTACTGCACAGTGCACATTGAAAACAAAAACTATGTTGGAAAAACCGGATTGCTATTTTAACACATTTTCATGGTTAATGAATAAATTATTAAAGGTATTTATATATTCTGAATGTTTATCTTTGTTTATCATTAATGGCTGTACATGAAAATAACCAATAACATACATACCTAAAAATATTAGTATGGAAGTTAGTTTTAGCATCTTAGGTATGTCGTCGTAATTAGAAAAGTAAGTCTGAGTTGTTCTTTTATGTTAATTTAAAGATCGCTAACAAACATGGAAGGAAATATATAATGAGGAAACCTTGACTTAGGTATATTATAATTAGAAATAAAAGGTCGAAACCACCCATTTGCCTCAGTTTGGTGATTAATTATCATTCCTTCTCCGCGTGCACAAAGATGCCTTTGCCCGTGCGTGGGGCAGAGTACAGACTGATAGCGATCATAATTATTAAACCACTGCCTCGTTGGCCGAGTGGTCGCAAGTGCGAATGCCGGGCAAGGGGTCTCGGTATTGATTCCCGGGTCGGCCAAAGTATTATTGGGTTTTTAAAATTCTCAGTAGTAGCACGCCGTTTGGAAATGTGCCCGGTATATGGCAATAGGCTCACCCCCTATTACATGAGACTCATAACATAAATAATGAAAAGTGGGTGTTACATTGTATAGTGACATTAAGTGCCGTAATGTGCACCTCTGCCTATCCCTTCGGCGATAGAAGGCGTGATGTTGTTATGTTAAGTACAAATCTGACCAGTACTAGAGATTACAAATATCTCTAGATTAAATAGATAAAATACCTTACTTGGCTATTACAGTGGTGATGGGTGATGAGAAGCTCCCAAGGTATTTAGTAGCTGGTTTGTGTGCTCTGTTGAGTCGGTCGCGTAGTTCATGTTCCAGCTCGTTGAAGTGACGCAGTGTGATGCGAGCGTACAACGACCACGTTCGGAGACCAAGCGACGCTGGCGAACGTTTTATTAACTAGAAAACCATAGTAGATATGAGTGCATAAGTAAAGGTTCGAAACCTACCATCGGCAAGTACCAATGTGACTTTTTCCGAGTTATATGTACTTTCTAAGATTATTTAGACACCACTGACAAACGATGAAGGAAAAACATCGTGAGGAAACTTATAATGGAGGAGGCTTATAATTTCTAATTATAAGTTTGAAATCGCCAACCCGCATTGAGCAAGCGTGGTGATTAATGCTCTAACCTTCTCCGTGTGAGAAGAGGCTTTGCTCAGCAGTGGGCATTTATAGGCTGTTGATGATGATGATGAAGTAAAGGTTTATGTTAAGGACTATTTTTGGTCATAGCCAATAAATGGCTGAATGAATAGCTATGTTTCTTTAATTATTATTACCAATAAAGGCACGAATTCTGTAACACTAGCGATGTTTCACCCTTATGTGTTACAAATAATGTAAAGGTGTTGGTTCTGCACGAAGTCGTGTGGCGTGTCGTATCTGAATATTACAAAAGATGACGATAAGGGGGATATAACGTCGCACTAGTGTGTTCGTGCCCACTTGGGAACAGGAACATATCCTGCGAAGTTGGCCAGATTTACGTTGAGATTGGCCGATGTAACCAAAATCGCTTAGAAGCTTGTTTCATTATAATGTGTAGTCGCAATAATATTTAACTGTACGTTCAAGTTAAGCAAAAGAACTCGATGAGAAACATTGCTAAGCTGAATTTCTCTATATAGTTAAGATAACAAACCTCGGCATAATTGAAGAAGAAGTATAGTATTTGCCACGCTTGTATAAGAGGCGCGAGCAGTAAGTTTACTATCGCCAACCATAATATTTGTCTCTCAAGCTGTCGTGCTAGTAACATTCGTTTTGAGTGATCTTTATAACATGCACGGAGTTGCCAACAGTTTTCCCATGGACTCCACGGACTATCTGTAGAAGGAAATTAATAATAAATTAATACTAAGGTCACTATTAAATACGAATACGTATTATTGTTTACACAACTGCGTCGGAATTGTGAATGAATAAAAAATTCAATTCATTGTGATTATAATATAGAACTTCGATAAGATATTCTTTATTGTTAAAGTCTAAATAAAACAGATCAAGGTTCTTCAATACTTGTTGCAACACGTGCATTTGTGATCAAAAATTAAATTACTGGATGGAACTACAAGAGATAAGTGATACTTACAAAATAATAAAAACTCGATATTCCATTTCAACCCTCGGGATAAATAGTGAAAATCACCAATACAAGGCACATGTATTTGCAGAGGAAGTAGATTTTTATTCACCATTGCCACCATATAATTTGTAAACCTGTAAAGAGATAGACACTGCAAATTATTTACACGAAAATGTGCGAAAACAGTGTTGACAGTTTGAGAAGCTTTGACTGGTACCAAGTTAAAACTAATGTCCATCCTAGGGGCATGTCGCGGAGAACCTAACGGGTTACCGGGGCTCCGGTTCGACGTGCAGGAGAAGGTGGTTTTTAGCCAATAAGAGTCTGACACTCCTTCCCGCCTCACTCAGGAGGGAGAAGTCATTTTCCCCCCTTAAAAAAAATCCTAGGAGCATGTGAATGCCCTATCGGATCCATAGTCGTGCAAACAGGCCTCGCAACCAACAAAATGTGTGTAGGAACATATCTGATGATAATTTGACTTTGACTTCACAATCAAATGGTTGTCGGGGACCGAATGGTATGGACCAAATACTGGTCGCCCAATCAGTATTTGTAACAAGTTATAAAGCCATTCCCAGTAGTGCCAGGGCTGGGTTAAGTTTGACGTCGCAGGTAAAGCCAAAATACTGCCAACTGTTCAACCTTCATCTTGCAACTGATACTGATAACCCTGGTATTTATTTTAGTGTCTTTATCCTGGTTGCTCTAGTTAGACAAGATGGCTGCGCAAATTCTATGGCCATGGTAATCTATATATGTTTTAAAACTACTAAAGAAAACTTAAATCAGTACGGTAAGTTTTGAGTGATTAGTTATTAACATACGTACAAACTTTCGAGTTCAGAGAACAGGATATGTATTAATAGTAGTTAAGGCGTGGCAGGGAAATTACCTCGCTTATGAAACAGTCTATTATTAAACCAATTTATTCTGAGTTAAATAACATTTCATCTAGGACAATGCATCCATAACAGTCATTGATGGAGTCAAACAACAAATTCAAAATATTCAGATTATTCGGAAATGCAAGTCAAAAGAAACTGATTTTGTTAAGGAAATATAATGATGAATACATGTTCTGTGGAGTAAATAAACTCTTGCAATGATAAACACAGATAAAGCGAGAACGTAAGTTGACAGAGTGCACCTAAAGCATAAAATAAACATTGCAAATCTACACACAACAATAAAGCATAACCGACCGCTGTTCGTAAATGGAATGCTTATAAAAAAAGGACACCCCTTGTCAAACCAACCAAAATAGAACCAAAAAAACATTGTTACATCTGTTTGGTTGAGCGTTTGGGCTTGGGTACGCCATTTTCGGAAACAGCTGAACCCAGCGAACTTTTTTTTGGGACCATTTTTTCTTGCATTTTGTCAGTTAGTTTCACTTAAAATTTTGTGTTGAAATCGCTATGTGAAGAGGACATGAGCATATTGAATACTCGTATGATGTCGCAGGCAAATGTTAGTGATTGTGCACTAACCGATCTATGTATAATTCATTTCAAGGCAGAGTAAGGAACTCAATCTGGGACACATGTTAAGTCATAACAGCTATCTTACGTTGTATATTTGAATTTCAAGACCTTTTCAATAAAAGATTTCTTTGTTCTCTTACGGTATTGCATAAACCTTTATTTTTAGCAAATGCAAATCTGTACAAAAAGAATTTAAAGTAGATATGAACCTCGTGAATATGAAAAATGAAAAATCAGTATTTATTCTGAGTTATTGAATCATAGCACTGATAGATATCATATTCGTTGAAATGTATGCACGCGCATAGCTTCCGAACGGCTGCTACAAATTGGATAATCGTTTTTTGTTGCGTTCGTTATTGTCGGGACGAGGTTTGCATGAAAGATACATTTAATAAGGAAAGGAATAACAACTGTTGCGAAATCGGGATGGGCCGTTATTGTAGTAAAAATAACAACGTTAACGCCGCCATTTTGTTTAAGGACCAAAATGGTGGCGGTGCGTAGAAAAAAAGGGTCGATTTGAATAAACGTAGTTCTTTTTTTGGAAATTAGTTAAAATAAATGAAACAAAAATGTATACAAACCTGAGTATTCGATGATAAATATCTAGTTCGTTGATCTCTTGTTTGTGGACACACATGTGGTGTTCTGGCTGGGCTTCTCTCACTCTGTCTTGAATTGTGGACCAGTTGATCCAAACTAAATCACTCTGAAACACAGAAATTATGGCTTTTACAGCATTTACTAACTCACAGATTCGATAAATTGCATGTTCTGTAGTTCTGTACTTAGGCATACAGGGTAATGGGAGGCTGTTTTCTTTGAGTGCAAGTCTATGATGGCTTTTACTATACACTGATTTCACATTAAATTAAATTAAGTGATGTGACTATTCACGGTTTATTTTTACCGGTGATTGAAACCTTGATATCATGGTAAAGTTGCTCACCTCTTTTATTTTTAATGCATTATTATAAAATAATTTGGTATCATAGGCGTAATATAAATGGTATATTGATATAATTAGCCTCATCAGCCAAATAACAGCACACAGTGTGACGAGACACCACCTAAAATATAACATTTCTATTAATATTGCATTACTATAGGGAATAAACCAAAACATCAACTACTTATAGACATTTGCTCAGGGATCAGTATAAGCTTAGCAAGCAGCTACTGAAATACGAAATTAAAGAATAAAACATCGTATTTTAAATAAAATTTGTATATAATAAGAGAATAAATAAATGTCTGTATAATATAATGACAATTAGCAGTCGTGCCAGCAGAATTTCGATATAAAATCTAGCTTTTGGCCCCTAAAAACTTGCATTCTCTAGGACACTACAATTATTCTTTAGGGTATCAAGGTAACAGAGTATTTTGGATAATAACACGCGACTCTTGATCCCTGAAGAGCATTTTCAATGCAGCATCCACTTTTCTCCAGTCATTATCCGGCCTATCTCCATATCCTGGACATAATACCAGTGCTATACCTGAGAATTTTCAAAAAGCCATAAAAAGTATAAAATCCCAATAGGTCAGGCAAAGCTGACTAGGGAACCCAACCCTAAACCCTTGTTTGTTTGTTACATTTCTAATCACTATACCCATGAGGCAGTCGTTTATTTAAAAAGCCTTTGACTGCCGACAGAATACTGTTACGAGGCAAGTCCTATGGTAGGCCAGTCACCAGTGACCGGTTATTGGGTCTCTATGATATGTAAAGATTTTAGAATTGAATCTAAAACTTTAAGCTCAGCTATCCTATTCGCCAGCAATAATGACATAATTTACTTACTTCTCACAAGCACCAAGCAGGTTGTAAAAATGTATGTGAAAATGTAAGTTTTATAACATCCTGCCAGCTATTTTACAAAGAAATTACTTTTTATTTTGTTTTATACAAATATTCAATATAATAATTTTTTTTCGAAAATCTCAATAATTATTTGCTTTGAGCGGTAATCGAACCCAAGGTACTTTGATTGACAGTCACACATGACGACTACCTCTAAAGCAATGAAATGTAAAAATAAATACGACATTTCTTTGTTATTAAAGTGACTGCCAGAATGTGTATAAAGATAAGTATTTCATAGAGAATTATGTAAACATACAAATAATAGTTTCTGGCACATATCCATAGTTTACAAACTATTCTGCTCTATAACTGTTTAGCATAGGTATATTGGCTGTATTCGCACAGCACCTAATTGCACTAGTCGAATGGCCCATTTACAACAATTGACAGCTCAAACTAAGGTTGCATTGATTGTGAATTTAGTTCAGACATAGTGCAGCATGATTTGGTAATATTGCATGTAAATATGTAACAAAGACTTGAGGTATAAATCATCAATAAAATATGGAATTTGCATTAGCCATTTACAAATGTGTCGCACAGCAGTATAAGTAAATGCTATAACTTACCATTTCCAGGCTACACTCTTCACACATACGGCTGGTGGAAGAATAACATCATTTAAACTAATTTTCTCACTTCTATTAGCATCTGGGCCATTCCTAAATAATTTTGTATAATCTACGCAATACACCAAAAATGTGGAAAACCACACTATGAAAATAAATTGCAACAAATAAAACAAGTCGGACATTATCATCGGATAAAATCCACCACGAACATAGTATCTGTACATTCTTGTAAAAAATGAGTCTAGGTCCTCTATGTGAGTCCATCCTCCTGCAACAAAACAACATCCTGTTAATAACAGAATACTCTCTGCAACAATTAGGCTGCTTTAAAACCAATTACAAAGCATCCTAATTCATAACTGATGATGCAGCAATAATTTCATATAGCCTTGCATAAAAAATATCACGCCAAAACATTTCTTAGCCTCATACAACACATGGAACAGTGAACAAAGACTCACAAAAAATTGCACCATGTGACTACTAGCTCACCTTTGTTTTTGGGCACTTTGTGGATGATAACATTGTTAGCATCCTCATGCTCGTGGTCCAGTGTTATAAAAGTTGGAGCTGCATTCGTGGTCTCCGCCAGACCACCCAGTGGCGGAGTTAATTCGTTGTTGAGAGCGCTGTAGGTAACATCGCGTTTTCCAAAATGTGCCATAATAAAATATAAATATCAACACAACAATACGTTTCTACGTCTAATCACAATACGCAGAGGCCATTTACTATCTAGACATTCTTGACTTTGTCCCAGAAACGTAAAAAATAATAACACAATCAACTTTGAAATCATACAAAGGATTTTTGTTTTTACAATTTTCTTTAAATTAAAGTTTGTATTTTCTTTAAAATTGTTTCTTTTGATTAAATTAATATAATATGTTTCAAGGATACAAAGAATTTTGTAAGACCCTAAGAATAAAGAAATGAATACACTTCACAAATGACGAAAATAAACCACGAATGACAGCTTGATTTGATGTACTAATTTTCTCAAACAAATATTGGTTCCGTTCCACGCAGATTTTGACAGTTATCATTAGAGCGCAGTAGGACTTTAAAAGTACTGCCTCATGCGGTGAATTGAAGAACTAATCGCTGCAGTTTATTTGCTCGTTTTACAACACTGATATAATAATTATGATATTATATCTATGTTTTATAATTACTTGATCAAACTATTTGATAACTAAAAGGTTAACAATAAAACTAAAACTTTCAAATGTTAGAAATAAACTTTGATTTATCACAATTATTTTAGACTAAACGTTAGTGTTAGTAAAATTAATACTACAGACAAGGACATTGAAAAAAAAGTGTCAGAAACAAGATTCCCACTATTCTTCTCCGTGTAGGCTTCACTTGTTATTTTATTCCAAGTAATTTTACAACGTCAATCTCCAAATGCAAAGCACACTAGCAAACAAGTAATAAGGTGACAAGGTACCATTGCCATTGCCACGTACACAGCCATAGTAAGTATAGAAGAACAGAGTAACACAGTTCTACCATGGGCATGATCCATGATACTACCAATTTAAGAGTGTAAGTATAAATAAAGTAGGTAGGGTAGGTTGGGCGGTTGGGCTTAGGCCATAAGGGATGCCCTGCCCTGCCTAGCTCGTTAAATTCTCCACGGCTCCGTATCGGAAAACCACACCTTGGAACTTAAATTATTTATGCTGTTGATTTGATCGCGTGTGTCGAGCGCGCGCGCAGCGTCTCATTGTCGTGTGCGATTTGTCGCTTACGCAAGACATTCCGTTCAACTGGGGCTGCAGAAGACCTTGCGAGCTACTGGGGCTCCGCTCAGGCTCGATATGGATAGGAACGAGCGAGGTGATTTTTATTCAATAAGTATCTTACACTTCCTCTTGCCTCACTTATGGTGTTACAAGTCATTTGATGATTTTCCCTGCTAAAAGGGGCACTTTGTAGGACTATATGCCTTTCGTGGCGCTATTTGTCGACCCTCGGCATGACCTTTTTGCCTACCCGCCTCGCGTGTCGTCATATGGTGAGTTCGTGCAGGCCAAAACTTTGCAGCGGCAGCGTTTAGTCGTCACGCTAAAATTGGCAGGAATCCAGGCGACTATTCCTTTGGATAATGTCTAGAACCCTACTGAACTGGCATTATCTACGTGCGTTGATATTCATGGTCATACACCTTGAGTTAATATCAGACGGCTAAAATATACTAAGTTAAACTATCCCATGTCGTGAGTGTAGGTTCAGAATGCCAATCCACATTCGGTTATCTAGCGAAAGATATAAATATTGCCAAGTGCATGCTGTGCGAAGTATACTTTCAGTCCCCATACCTACAGTGTTTTTATTAGTTGTATCACATTGTTGTAGGTACCATCAGTTTAAATATTTTACCTATTACCTTATATTGTGCCTAAATATAATGCACGTAGGTGGATACTTACGTAAGTGATAATTTTATTGCCTAGGCAGCTGGGTAACAAAATAAATCGATTTTTGCTCAATGTCAAGTAAGATTATATAAATATTACGCTTATTGTAGAATTGTACAAAATATCATGCGGTAACACTTATTTGAATAATGATCAGAATTTCACAGTGCATTAATATTAAAAAAATGTACTACTTCCTTTTAGTGTGTGGTGTTCTTCAGCCTATATTGCAGTACGTAAATTATATAATGTACACGTTCTATACGTTCTACCTTGAAGATTTCCTAGACTGATAATGATCATAACTGGTTCGTTATATTCAACTAAATAAGCTGGTACATGAGATAGACAAAAAAGTTTAGGATCAGAATCGCAAAATTACATCCTTTGCCACCGTGGTACTGTGGTCAAACCGACTAGAGCTAGACCCATCCTTTCCAAAATATCTTTGCAAGTAGCAATCGACGATTTGTAGCTAAAATTACAAATAATAATTATGTATCTCTGAATTGTACTGAACTAGCTGTAGCACGCAACTTCGTACGCATAGAATAATGACTTCTGGCGGAATCTACCCCTTGCGGGTAACCGGGGCTCCGGCTCGACGTGCAGGAGAGTGAACGGGGTGGTTTTTAGTCAGTAAGAGTCTGACACTCCCTTCCGCCTCACCCAGGCGGGAGCAGTAATTCGATGATTTTCCCCCCTTAAAAAAACCCCTTTGGGGGTGGAATTGATCAAAATCCTTTGTTGGGGATGCCAACGTCATAACATCTAAAGTACCTGTAGGCCGAATTTCAATCCGATCGGTTTAAAACTGACAAAGTTTCATACAAACTTTCATCCCCTATCTTAACCCCTTGGGGTGGAAATGATTAAAATCCTTTCTAAACGGATGTCTAAGTCATAACATAACTTCAGTATTATGGGTAAGTTTTATTGAGAATACTTGGTTCATCCGGGACCCGGGTACGTCCTAAAACTGCGACCAGACACCGAGGAATGGGCTGCAGCATTCCATAAATATATCGGTGACCTAACTGCGATCCCCAAGCCGCCTGCCAAGCGTGGGGATTATGGCAAACCCCCCCCCCCTCACTATGAACGGCAACCTAAATACACGGCCCCCAGTCCCCGGCAGCTCCGCTATTCCTGATCTTGGTAGCGGATCGGGTAACGGCGGAGCAGGGGGTGCTAAGAATCCCCGGCAGATGAACCGCTACCACCCCCGACGAACTTTGGCCCTGGCAACACATAACATCCGCACCCTGCGGACCGATGAGAAGATTGTCGAGCTGGAGGAAGAATTGAGCAAAATGCGGTGGGACATCTTGGGACTGTCTGAAATCCGAAGAGAGGGCCAGGATACGATGGTCCTGGATTCCGGCAACTTGCTCTTCTTCCGGGAAGGAGATCAAAAATCCCGGGGTGGTGTCGGATTTCTCGTCCGCAAGTCCCTCGTCAACAACGTGAGTAAAGTTGACAGTGTGTCGAGCAGGGTAGCGTACCTTATACTCAGAATATCACACCGGTATTCGCTGAAGGTCATACAGGTATATGCGCCGACCTCGACACACTGCGATGATGAAGTAGAGGCTCTGTATGAGGAAATTTCCCAAGCCATACACACCTCCGAAGCTCACTTCACCGTTGTCATGGGGGATTTCAACGCGAAGGTGGGCACACGGAACGGCGAGCTGAGAATGGGGCCATTTGGGTATGGGCAGCGAAACCGTCGGGGCCAGCGGCTGGTCGACTTTATGGAGAGGGAGAGACTCTTTTTAATGAACTCCTTCTTCCGAAAGCGACCAGCTAAGAGGTGGACGTGGATAAGTCCCGATGGTTACACCAAAAATGAGATCGACTTCATCATGGCGACCGACAAGCGCATGTTCAGTGATGTGATCAGCTAGTAAAAAACCGGCAGCGATCACCGTATTGTCAGAGGCACACTGAATATCAATGTCAAGCTGGAGAGGTCACGCCTGGTGAGGTCCACACTCCGTCCTGGTCGCGCCCAGGTCCCGAACCCCGAACAGTTCCAGCTCCAACTGCATAATCGCTTCCAGTGCCTGGCTGAGTGTGAAACGATTGACGAGTTAAATAATGGGTTAGTGGAAACTGTCCAAACGGTGGGCTCAGAGTTTTTTCAAAAACCCACGCCAAAATAGACCTCAAAAGCTCTCGAAAGAAACACTTAAATTATTGAAAGACCGACACGAGATGAGGCTGCAGTCTTCAGTTGACATGTCTGGATATGGCAAACTTAATAGGCGAATTTCAAAGTCTATGCGACGCGACCTGCGTGCATATAACGCCGCACGAGTCAGGGATGCCATAGAGCGAAATCAGGGCGCAAAAGTATTCGCAAGGAATTCGTCTGTTGGGCAAAGCCAAATGACGAAACTGAAGACCGAAAATGGCAGCATCGTTTCGTCGAAGCCAGAGATTCTGAGAGAGCTTGAAAGGTTCTACGGACAGTTATACACCTCGACACGGCAACCCATTGTCGGTACAGCTCGGGATCCTAGAGCTAAACTGACACGGCACTACACCGAGGATATCCCAGACATCAGCCTGTATGAGATTAGGATGGCTCTCAGACAGCTCAAAAATAACAAGGCACCGGGTGATGACGGAATCACAACAGAACTTCTGCGAGGGGTGGAAAACCGATACTTTTAGTCCTCCAGAAACTATTCATTCCGTCATTCTCGAAGGAACTACGCCGAAAGCATGGCAAAGGAGTGTAGTGGTTCTGTTCTTCAAGAAGGGTGACAACTCTTTGTTGAAGAACTATAGACCCATCTCGCTTCTGAGCCATGTATATAAGCTGTTTTCTAGGGTTATCACGAACCGTCTGGAACGCAGGTTTGATGACTTCCAGCCTCCCGAACAAGCGGGTTCCGGAAAGGCTTTAGCACCATAGACCACATTCATACGCTGCGGCAAGTTATACAGAAGACTGAGGAGTATAACTTGCCACTATGCTTGGCGTTTGTGGACTATGAAAAGCCTTTGATTCGATCGAGACCTGGGCGGTGCTGCAGTCTCTTCAGCGATGCCATATCGACTACAGATATATCGAGGTGCTAAAGTGTTTGTATAGAAACGCCACCATGCGCATCCGACTCCAGGAAGATAGCACGGAACCAATCCAACTGCAGAAAGGCGTGAGACGGGAGACGTGATTTCTCCGAAACTGTTCACCAACGCATTGGAGGACGTTTTCAAGCTTTTAAACTGGAGTGGACTGGCATCAATATCAATGGCGAATACATCACACACCTCCGCTTCGCCGATGATGTAGTCATCATGGCGGAGTCGCTGGAGGATTTAAACACCATGCTCAGCGACCTCGATATCGTCTCCCAACAGGTGGGTCTTAAAATGAACATGGACAAGCCAAAATCATGTCAAACGTCCATGTTGCACCTGTACCGGTCATCGTTGGGAACGATATCCTCGAAGTTGTAGACCACTACACATACTTAGGGCAGATTATACAGCTAGGTAGGTCCAATTTCGACAAAGAGGTCGCCCGAAGAATCCAACTTGGATGGGCAGCGTTCGGGAAGTTACGCGAAATCTTCTCATCGAAAATCCCTCAGTGCCTAAAGACCAGGATGTTCAACCAGTGTGTGTTGCCGGTGATGACGTATGGTACCGAGACGTGGTCCCTGACCTCTGGCCTTCTGGAGAAGCTCAAAGTCGCTCAGCGTGCGATGGAGAGAGCTATGCTCGGGGTTTCTTTGCGCGACAAAGTCCGAAATATGGAGATTCGCCAAAGAACAAGAGTTACCGACATAGCTCGCAAAATCTGCAGACTGAAGTGGCAATGGGCAGGCCACGTCGCTCGAAGGACTGACGGCAGATGGGCCAGGAAAGTCCTTGAGTGGAGACCACGGACCGGAAGACGAAGCGTGGGCAGACCTCCCGCTAGGTGGACCGACGACATCGCCAGAGTTGCGGGGAGCCAGTGGATGCGGGTGGCGAGTTGTCGTTCGACGTGGAGGGCTAAGGGGGAGGCCTTTGTCCAGCAGTGGACGTCTTCCGGCTGTTGATGATGACTTGGTTCATCCAAAAATTATATTCTTTTCTAAACTAAAGCCGTTGGGTAAGAGTTTATGATTCCATAATACTGAAGCACTATTCAAGATAACGTAAGCAAAAATATAGACGAAAAAATAAAGAATGGTAGCAACAAGAGTCAAAAGACTGGCACAGGTCCTTTTTCATGGATAACATATAAGTCATTGGAATTTAAAAACTATCTGACTTAGATTTTTTTTAATATTTTTCTTATAACTGTTGAAATCTTGCCGATCACCTGGTGCCATTTGATCGTTGAGTTCAGGGACACCTTATATATTTAGATATCCATTAATTTCAAAGTTATTTTCAGGTGCTACAGTGTTAACGGTAAAAGTGACGCAGTTCCACGTTTTCTAATAAAGGCTGGAGCTAAACCGTATGTATGATTTTGTCCTACATGGTTTACAGAGATGCACCTTTGCTAAAAGAAATTCCCGTTGATGACATCTTTCATTCGAATCGTGTTAGGCATTGTCTACACTGCTTGAAAAACCCGTACAGTGTACTGTAAGGTATTATTTTAAGAAGTCCCATTTAGCTGCTATTAAGTAGGTTAGGTACCATGATAAACTGGGTACCTAATGCGCCTGCCACAAACTTGACGAGTGGCATAGGAAGTAACGAGGAAAGGACGCAGAGACATAGTGTGGCAACATTACTCGTCATGGCACACGTCATGCTCCTCGTTCTGCCTACTGCTCCATACTTTGACGGTTTTTGCACGCGATTCAAAGGACCAGCAATACGAGGAGGCACCGAGGACTGGCAATAGGAGGGTCGCGATTGATTGCGCCAGTAGAGCGCGGGTGTGGGCAGTGAGGGCAACACAGCGGCAAATTACGGCAGCGCGAGGATCATAGCGATGAGCAGCGCAAAGGACATAGTCTGGCAGGCGCATAATAGGTTCGCGACCTCATAACGAAATTGAGATGAAGAATAATATCATGGTATTTTTCTTTTTAGTGCTATTTTCGGTTCGTATAGTTACGATCCAGTGAAGCGAATATTTGTTACACCACTCCCAGAAGAAAGAAACTATCAACCAAACGACTACAGCCCTACCAGTCACTTGCCATTGCCAAGTCCGTCCGTCAGCGACTCTATCGTTCATTCGACGGTAGTAGATGAAACGAAAATGAGATCGAAAAAAGAAGATACTAGGCAGTCTCATTGATAGTCTTAAAGTTAGGAAACATGTTGCTCCTGTTAGGGAGGAATGAACATAACAAAAATAATAGAGGAGCAATAATAAACTCTGTAATAAATAAGCATTAAGTACCTACTTACTAATAGCAATTATAATAATTACTTATTTATATGATATTAGATATTACCTACAACATCGTATTTTTATTTTTACTGACTAGGTACATAAGTTTGTCTACTTATTACATTTACGAACTTACGATAGATTTTGACTTATGTTCTGTACCTAATTCATAGGAGGTGACTTCTACCTTCTATATTGTGACCTTTTTTGGTACTTTAACAGTATAACTTCAGGTTTGTCTCCAGTCTCACAATTTAAGATTCAGAGCCTGTTAGGCTAAAAGTTAGCCTAAAGATGCATTAGAGTCGCAATCTGAAGAAAACCTTTGTTCTACAGTGGATGAATTAACCTGGATAGATATAGTAGGTACCTACTTTTAAGTAAAAATCAATACTTAAATATCTAAAAGTTTATTATAAACGGATTCTTTTATGAACACAGCGCAATGCTCTTCCAACTTCCCACCAGTATCGCGCGTCACTCCACTTTGCGCGGGAAACTTTTCTAATCTGTCCCATTTGACAGATGACATCGTCAATATGACAGCTATAGTCGTATTTTTAATTAGACGAAGTCAACTGACAGTAGCTAATGTCAAATTGTAAAATATTTAAAGTAATAGTGATGGCTTCAGTTCTCGTTCAATCAAATGAATGAACAATGAATGTGAATAGTTAATTAATCTCTTACTTATCTCAAACTAGCTTTTACCCGCGGCTTCGCTCGCGTCACAAAAGAATAAAAGTAGCCTATGTGACATATACCAATACACACAGCGCCATCTATACCAATACTTTTGTTTTTCCTCGGGAATATCAATTTTTTCCGGGTTAAAAAGTACCCTATTATTTAATCCGGACTTCTAACTTTACGTCTGCAAAAATTCAAAGCAATCGGTTGAGTCGTTACGGCGTGAAGGTGGAACAAACAAACAAACAAACAAACAAACTCACTTTCAGATTTATAATATTAGTAAGGATAAGGATGCATCAACACAATTTCGGCCAGCTATCTTTAAAGTCCATGAGAGTTTCAAGAGAATAAGAAAGTCCTTACTATATACTTAAGTTCATTTTTTATTTGCGGGAAAAGTTTCAATCACAATCCTTGCAGTTGGGTCATGCCATTTTTCGCCATCCGCCATCCACGCTGCTATAAAATCTAAAACATCAACTTTATTATCTGAGTAATAAAATAAATCGATTTTGTATCGATGTTGAATAAGTTTTTGCATTATGATTTGAATAATGTTCAGTATTTCACGGTGCACCAGGTTAAAAAATGCTTTTTCATGTCCTTTTTCTGTGTGGTGTTCTTCATCCTATATTGCAGTACGTATAATGTCGTATTTAGTTGAATAACGTTATAATTTGTATTTACACTATATGTACTTATATCTATGTACCTAATTCAAAGATATTTTCAGTTATTACAGTGTTTTCGGTAAAAGAGAAATACTACAACGTTATGTAATAGAGGAAGGAGCGAAACCGTATGTATTTTTCGTCATTACCTTACTGTACCTACCTACTTAGGTGTACCCAAATGTAAAATTACCTGCTTCGAATCCCGTGTATGGCAGAATAAGAAAAACACAACTTTGTAACTTATTCTAATGAAGACTAATATGGAAATCATTGGCGGCGTCGTAAAAAAGGTACTGAACGTGGGTAAATCTGGTGGCGTATTTACCCACGTTCAGTACCTAGTCGATAAAAAGACCAGCAGGTACCTAACGATGATGATATAAAAGCAGACTGTAAGAAAATAATAGTGTAGGTACATTGTAGACAATGAGAAAATATGTAGTTGATCTTTACCAGCCCCTACGCAGCGGAGCGCTGATAAGACTTAGGTACGACAAAGACGGTATACGAGTTTACCATCATTACCTTATAACTGATTAGTAACAGACCATAATATTATGCCAAAGAGGTAGATAAAAGATACATACTTAGGTAAATATGTATAACTAGTTTCAGATAGGTACCTACTACCTATTATTTAAATCTTTTTTCTTTTTAGTCCAATCTTCGGTTCGTATAGTTACGACCCAGTGAAGCAAGTATTTATTCCGCCAGCCTCAGAAGACGACCACGAGAATCAGCACCCAGAACCCCAACCAGTGCCCCCACCCGTGGTCCAAACGAAACCAGGAAAAACGACAAATTCAAATTGTCTCAACAACACTGGTCGTCCTATATTTAGGAAACATGTGACTGACATAACGGAGTTTGCAGTCTCGGAGACTGTGCCCGAGAACGGGACAGAGACAGTGACAGTGACTGTGAGCGAGACCCCTGGATTCCCCATTACAAACTGGTGGGATAAACCTAACGCACCCAAAAGTACTACTCCGAAAAATATAACATCAAATGTAATAAATACGAAATAGTAATAACACCTACAGTATACTTATGTACATACAACATTACATTTTTTCACTTCAATACCTAACTACGTACATAGGTACATAGGTTCCTAATCACAAATCGACGTTAACCGATCTGACAACCAGAGTGCCAAACACGAATAACCATCGCAATCGTATCGTAACAGTATCTAGCGAGTTAAGCGTTCTGAGGGCCAAGCACGAATAACTATCGCATTCGTATCGTAACAGTATTGAGCGAGTTAAGGTGGATGGATGATGATCTCAAATGCCATTTTGTCGCTAGATGGCGTAACTTCCACAATTTGGAACATTTTCACGTTTTACGCCTAACTTCGAAATCTTTAATAGATAACTTTATTGTTCGCGAAACCTAGGGCATTAACTTGATTTTTTAGATAGTCGTTGTGCTTGTTATCTGGTCTCATACAAAGATTACTACAAAATAAAGATTTAGCCGCTTCACTTTACTGTTTACACACACATGCAAAGTAAATAGTAGTAACTTTCGACACCACCAGATGTCGTTATACTATAAAAATATTAATTTACATACTTGAAATTATGTTCCCATCTATTTCTTATTACTATAATAATTGGTCTAAGTATACTTTTGTTTCTAGACTCGATATCTAGCAAATTATTCATAAAATTTATTTTAGGTAAAATAGGTACCTACACTGTACACTATATACTATACCCCTAGACCCTACACCTGTCGCGGAGAACCTAACGGGTAACCGGGGCTCCGGCTCGACGTGCAGGAAAAGGAACGGGGTGGTTTTTAGTCAGTAAGAGTCTGACACTCCCTTCCGCCTCACCCAGGCGGGAGCAGTCATTCGATGATTTTCCCCCATTAAAAAAAAAAAAAAAGACCCTACACCTAAAAAATTGTTGTAATGTGACTGAACCTAAATTGTAATGTGTAAATAGTGACTTTACTAAATAAATAAATGAAAGACTATTTATTCCATTGTAAAGCTTTTTATTGTACCTTACTATAAATTAATAATATTTATTTAGTAAAACTAAGTTAACATTTTCATAAAATAATCGTTTTATTTACTCTCACTACATTTACTTAGATAGTTTCCATCTGGATTCAAACCATGGAGTCATACCACCATACAAAGATAACATAATTTTTAATTGTTTTGATATTTACTTAGTTTTATAATTTTAAATTTAGTATTATAAAGAATTATTATGTATGTAGATCACAATATAAATAACATCATAAGTATATATACGGCACATGTAAGTTTGCAAGTATCTTACATTCATTTATTTCAATTAATTAGTATAACATTACAGTCATAAAACCAACAACAAGTGGTTGCTAGCTAACCATAACATTTATTTATGTTTCAAGAATACATGTTATTATACAATTTTGAACTTAAATAAATAATGTTTTACAATTGAATTGTTAGGCTGGTACCTAAATGCATGAGGCAAACTTATATACACAGAAAAATCTTATGGACTAACAAAATAACACAAACTATACATCGCACAAGTGGTTGCTAGCTAACCATAACATTTATTTATGTTTCAAGAATACCTATTTATTTTACAATTTTGAACTTCAATAAATATTGTTTTACAATTGAATTGTTAGGCTGGTACCTAAATGCATGAGGCAAACTTATCTACACAGAAAAATCTTATGGACTAACAAAATAACACCAACTATACATAGCTACGTGCAAAAATAGCTTATTAATTATTCTATAATGTTCACACTGCTGAGAATCAGGCTACACAAAGCAAAGTGCCGGCTTGGATTCGAACAATCAACTCGTACCACCATACAAAGATTCTTATATATATTATAATAAAATGTCTTCTTTTTGCAGTCACCGCCGCCACCGCCGCGCCATATCAGTCTTCTGTTTATCGCTTTTTACTTCCATTTATAATTTCCGTGCAATCTGAATCAAATGCTGGAAGACGCAGTTTTCGCTGCAACAAATGAATTTACACAGTTTTGTTAGACTATTCTTACTGAACCCACACCTCAGAGCCCTGAGAAATAAGTTAGGAAATGAATAAGACTTATATTTTTATACCTTTTAATTCCTTGATGTCCAGACATTTAGCATTTTTCTCAACTCTTCTCAAAATAATTTCTGGCAGTACACATCTTTTAAAAACTGTCACCAACTTCGGCATCATAGTACTGATAAATTCCTCATTCTGGTTAACTTCTATGACAGTCAATGGTTGGGTGACTGATATATAGCAAATGAAGTAACATTTATTCATTTTGGTAATTCGCAATTGACCCTGGACCTAGAATCAAAATAATAATAGCTGTTAAAAAGAAACAATCCAAGAAATACATTATTTTTATACATACATACCAAGAAATAATGATATTTGATAATAATGAAATAATAATAATGATATTTGATAATAATGATATACTTACTTGATAATAGTAATTATGCTTTTTGTTCATAACTAAAACATCATTTTCCAAATGAATAGGAAAATTTCTATTTTCTGATGCTTATCGAATATTTTGAATATCTGTAAAAAAGAAAAGTTTTTAGGCTTACGCTACTGAACCCTATTTAAAATATTCACGCGACAAAAACTAGTTATTTGTATATTTTTATTATCGAATAATTTTACCATCAGGGCTAGCTACTAAGAATCCAAATTCTTCATTAATGAAAAGTCCTGATGGCCTGACTATTTGCCATATTATTGCATAAACATGCTCTATGCAACATGTTCATTTTGTTTTCCATACATCATATCTTTAGTACAAATATTATTTTTATAGAGAATGCATTTCACATGATTGTGACATGGTGTGGCATTGGTTGGAGTGTAGCAAAGGGTGTGCAAGGAGTTTAGGACTTTTAATTATTTTTTCATCAAAAATGATAATTCTTATAAGTGGCTCGGTTTTTCATTTCTATCGTTTAGTATACCTAAAAATAAGATGACTATTATCTAGGCACTTTTCTAGATAAAAGGCTTCAGGTTCGCCTGAAATTGAGCCCTAAAGGTCAGTTGGGGGAGTATGTAAAACACTTTTTGGGCACCCCAACACATTTGGTTAGGTTAGGTTAGAACTGTGACCCTCATAAGGCCTAGATAAAAGGTGTCCAAATGATTTTCGCTTTATTATTAGGTATACTAATCAGTGAAAATGAAAAACTAGCCATTTATAAGAATTTTCATTCTTGATGAAAATGAAAAATAAAGTCCTAAACTCCTTGCACACCCTTTGCTACGCTCTGACCGTGGCATACGACGTTTGCATACCTAAAATGAACAAAGTGACAATCATTATTCTGCAATTTGTTAAAACTTTCTCAATACATAATAGGTACTAACCTTATCGAGCATAACGACCTTTTCTAGAACATAAACCAATGAGTATCAAATAAACTTCACTCACGTAAATCTGATTTGAAATCCTATAGTAATCTGATTTCTTCACTATAGATCACTAAAAGAACTTTCATGATGTCTTATGAATGCGGCTTGCACCTTTTTCCTTGAATTTTGCGGCCCTGAATACATAGTATGTCGTATACACGCAAGTTTATTAGTCGGGTTCATTTTAGGCAGTTCAGTTGCAATTCAATCTCAACATCAAATGTATCTTATTTATGAAATGTTTCAAGAAATTTGTAATAGCAGATCTAATCTAACACCACCATCAAGTTGTCAAGTGCAGTCAAGTTCTATTAAGCAGTGTTGCCAATTGCCAACACGACTAATACAAAATCTGGGAGACTGCTACTGAATTAAAATGTCAAAATTATTCTAAATACTATAAAACTATGCTAAAATACTGTGCTAACATTCTTCAGTGTGAAATAAAACATCTTTTAATTTGAATCTTTAATAATCAAGAAAATTCGAGTAAGAGCATTAAGAAACATTATAATACAAGTATCCGTACTTGTTGTTATATGTACTAGTGTTTATTAATATATTTTTTTAAGTAATAATAAACATGGTAAATATCCCGTTTAAGTTGTAATGATACTGGTGTTTATTGTTTCGTGTGGATTTCATGACAAAGTCTCTTCCGAGCCCCTTTTCTTTAGTAAATAAAGCTCGTAGTAAAGTTTCGTTGCTAAATTGGTGTACGGATTCTTAAATATTATACCAAAAGGTTAAATTTTGCGTTGAAGTTATAGTAATACCACATTCTATTGCCATTTATTTTTTAATTCAAAGTACGATCTTTTAAAATGTATGGTACAATCTTCCAAAAAAATAAAGTTGGCAACCCTGCTTGACGCACTTTGTGTATGTGTATACATGCTAATAATACTAGTAAAATAAGCAATTAAGAAAAATTTAAATGGTTTGTCTGTATATTCACTAATGTTGCTGGTTTCACATGATTTAAATATGATTTAATCAATAGATGTACGTAGTACCTACGTTTCATTATTGTGTAGGTAGCTTCGCTAATCACCTGATTTATAACTTACTTATACATCAAATTCTATTCTCTGATTTTATTCAACCCAAACCAATGGATTAGTACCTAAGAGTATCAGAAAATGTGTTATCAGTATCTACTTACATACATTACAAAGATTTTTGAATCTGCAGTCAAGGAATGTTAGTGTGTACTAGTACAGGCAGGCTGCAATCACGGCGTCCTGACCTATCGGTTGACGCAGGTCCTCACCAGACCAAGGACACATCGCAGAGATATTTTTTTCACTTTATGTAAAGCATTAATTCTCATCCCATTATAAAAAACATTTTATCAATCGTTAATTTAACTCCGTGGGTAAACCCGCGCGCCCGGTGCTAACTTGCTAGAAACACAATATTCTGGAAATGATTCGCAAGTTGTCAAGATTCAAGACATCACGCATGGACGGAATGGCAACAGCGCACGCGCTGCTTCTTGACGGCAACGTCGCATTCCCGCACGCGTCACGTCACTTTGATGCTTGTTCGAATTATCGGACAGCGCCATCTATTATGAATGTTTACCAATTGTAAACTCGGAACACAACAGCAACCAAATTTCTCGGTGGTTCTATAAATTTCTATCAGATGGCGCGATTCAGGTCACTCACACATGCAAAGACTTATCGTTTTTTATTCGGTCTAATTCTCCTAGAAATACAATTTTTTAATAAAATTTGGGCTATACACAAACATAATACATTATAAAGTCCCATTATAGTTCCTTTTCTTCTGCAGAAACTGTTTATTTACGAAGATTTCCGCACCTGAAAAATGTATGGCGAGGTCTAACTAGGCATCCACCTTAAGCGTTCTGATTGGTTGGTTCACTTGAGCCGGCCAATCAGAGTGCCGAACGCGCTCGATACTATTACGTTACGAATGCGATAGTTATTCGTGCTTGGCACTCTGATTGGTTGGTTCACTTGAGGCGACCAATCAGAGCGCCGAACGCGCTCGATACTATTACGTTACGAATGCGATAGTTATTCGTGCTTGGCACTCAGATGAAAATTATATTTTAGCAAATATGTTTGTAAATATGTACCAATAGGGTTGTCCTAAAATTTTATCATGGCTGTTATTAAAATTATAAAAAAACTAGCGCGGCGCGTATAAGATATAAAAGGTAAAAAAATACCTGATGCTTAAGGGATATCTAAGGGTGTAATGTTGGTATTCTTCTGTGGAGATGTCTTGCCGCGGAAGGAGGTTGCGAAAAGAGACTGAGATCACGACTCCCGTTTCTACCGACAGCATTCACACCCGGCGTAGGAGGAGAGTAGAAATTGCAGTCTTTGGACCAACTTCATCTTCTCACACTGTTCAACAAGACCCGAGACGGTGGCTATGTGTCCCCATACACTTCCGAGTACGAGGGAGATAACACTCCTCTCCCTTGTGCATCAGCTGTTATGCAGGGTGGGCCTCAATTCCCTATTTAACATGTATTAAAAATAAATAAAATACCCTCAACTATTGTAATAAAATCTTTATTTTTTCTTTATCTGAATGATAATTTTAAATCACATTACGATCAAAAGAAGGCATAACTATTATGATAAGTATAAGTCTTGCTTGCACAATCTCCCGACGGAAAATAGATATTACAAGAAGATGGATTTCAGTCTGAAATTCGATGACTGAAGCATTTCAGTGGAGAACTACACGTATCATAATTGTCATGTATAAAAATTTGTATCGTAACTACTGATGTACAGCTTAGAAGACACTTTTTAGCATTAATGGTCAGTCAAGCGACCGAAAATACGGGTATGGACACTTATTAATATCCGAAATTATGTACTTATGAGTTGTAGCGATGAAATAAACGTGAAAAACTGCCGTTTAGCTTGCATCAGCAGTTATTTGTGACTGTACCTAGTTATATTTATTTAACCGTAACATGTATTCACTTTACCTACACAAAAACCATTTTGGGTAAACCCAGACTAGTCTGTCGTACATACTAAACTATTCTAAACTAAAAGCTTTTTCTAAATACAATATCCGTATCATAATTGTTTTTCAGGTAGTTATTTTACATGTGTGCGTGTTTTTTTACAGTTAATAAATACATTTGTTAATCCTAATTGGTTATTTTAACCGACTTCAAAACAAAAAAGTATGTTGTCATTGTCAGTTTGACGTACCTATGTATGTATTGTTTGTGCGCAATTATCTCGCTATTGGTTTTAAAAAAGTGTTTGTTACACTTAGGAGAAGGTTCTAGTATATTAATTAACCGACTTCAATAAAAGATGGAATTGAAGATGGTTTTTTAAACATTGTTTATAAAAGAATTATATGAATATAAAGACAAGTATAACTTTGACTAAACATTTGGTTTTACTTAATATTACATGTCTATTACCACTGGTATAGAGTCTAGACTGATGCTCATTATACTTTTGTCAATTATTATTCAAATATCTTACAAATCCCAATTTCCCTTGGTTATCACAATCATAACGTGTCAATGGTTAGTATGATTTTCTTATGAAAGCCAAAAGACCATCAGGTCAATCGAGAAATAGCGACCGATCTTTGCCGAGGCGTGGCCACTATCGGCTATACTATCTTGTCGTTTAATTGTGGCAGTGGTGGACTAGCCCTATGATTGCTTGTCGTCTACAGCCATAAAGGTTAAGTCCATTCACATCATTTCATTTTTCTGCTATATCGGGAATTATCACTCGTGATAACCAGTTGGGCCGTTGGTAAACAAAAAAACGAATTGTTACCAACCTAACACCATTACACCTTAATACTTAATAAGTTTACTTATATTTAGGAGAAGGAGGCATCTATGTACATATCTGAACTCTTTTTTTCACTCTTAACGTTCATGAAGACTTAAAACAAGTTGTATCGTTATCAGCAATAGTACGCAGGCGATCAAAACAGCTAGCAGGGAGACTGAATAGGATATATAAACATTACAATATGATTATAGTAAAGACTGAATTCAAGTCAGCTGCATGTTCTAAAGTGCCTCCTCCTCCATAAATGTATACTTGCATTGCTTTATATTACAATGAGTTTTAACTGCTATAGCTATAAAAAGCTGAGCACAATGCATTACGTGAACAATGCTTCATATATCTAACCATAACCTCAGTAAAATAAATATCTACGACTAATACTAACACCCTTTGTATCATGCATGTACATCCCCTTTCAACGTCATCAACGTGCGCTCTTCTCGCACGGAGAAGGTTTGGGCATCATCACCACACTTGCTTAAGGCAGATTGGCGACGCAACTCAATATTCCCTTTTCCTATGTTTAAATTACTTAAATACCTATTGCTTAATCATAATTTACCTACTGCTCGATAAAACATTTTTTTTGTAAAAATTGCTATTAAATGTAAAAGCATACATTTATACGAAACAATTAAATATCGCTTTGGCTAGCACTTACTTCTATTCTGACATGATTAAGAATAGGAATAAATTAATTATCAGCAGAATTATAATCGAAAACGTGTTTTGTCCCAGTCCATCTTTAAAGTACAAATATAATATTTACCTTTTTGCTTAATTACGAATAAATACAAGTTTTCTTACTACAATATAGCATATTTGACTACAAGGACTACGCATATACAGGAAACAAAGAACTTCGAATGGCACTCCATCTTATAGAGAAAAACATATTACTTTGACTGTATTTACAAGCTATCAGCAGCATTTATTAGCCAGTCTTTGGAATATTAACATATTTAATGTGTTGATTCTTATTATCACATCACATTCAGGACCTCGATATTTTGGTTTCAAGAGACTCTGGTAAGCTACATAAATACATGAGTGCTCGTCATGAAAAATTAACGTCACTCCAAACCTTATCGAATTTCTTGATTCCTTGCATTCAAATAAATACATTGTACAAACTACTTAATAGTAAATGAATCATTCAGTTTTATTCATTATGAAATTGCTGACTATATGACCGATTCCAAAGACCACAGATAAGAACGCAATACCAAATATCGCTCGGAAGTACCTGTAACAAAATGAATAACATTTAATCTCATACTATTGTATAAAAAGCTCGCGGGACGATCTCCGGCCACCGTGAGCGCGGGCCTGCGGACGGCGAGCATGGGTGGCTCCCCGTCCGACCAGAAACAGACCCGAGCGTACGGCGCGTCGCGTTCCGCGCGCGCCTCAAAGAGCCATCAGACCACCACAGATGGGGTCCAATAGGGCCGATGCCGATTCGGAGTCGCGGAGAACCTAACGGGTAACCGGGGCTCCGGCTCGACGTGCAGGAGAAGGAACGGGGTGGTTTTTAGTCAGTAAGAGTCTGACACTCCCTCCCGCCTCACCCAGGCGGGGGCAGTCATTCGATGATTTTCCCCCCTTAAAAAAAAAAAAAAAAAAAAATTGTATAAAAAGCTAAAGAGTTTTTTTGTTTGAACGCGCTAATCTCAGGAACAACTTTTGTGTTGGATTTAAAAAAATATTTTTGTGTTGGATAGTCCATTTATCGAGAAGGGTATAAAACATCACGCAACGATAAATATGAACCGAGCAGAGCGGGTGCAACTGCGCGGAAGTAGCGTATATTATAATTCATGTAACAACTATTATTTAAATATATCATTATTTAAGAATAGAAAATTGGGTGAGAATCAGAAATAGAACCAGGTATGCATGCAAAGCAGGATGGGAATTAAATCCCAAGATGGTATTCAGAAATTCGATGACTGTTGGAGTGTTGGAGACGTTGAGGTAGAAGTTCTGGAGACTGCGTCTAGCCAACTAGGCATACTAAGTGTAAGGCGCCTTCCAGCTTGATATAGTATCAACATCCATTAAGTAGCTAGCCAAGGGCCGAAGAGCTCAGTAGCCTGTTACTGGAAAGGCCTCCTAGGATCTCGCCAGTGTTACAAGGACATCATAAAACAGCTCTGGTAAAGATATGTACTGCGAAGGTAAGCTCCTCAGTGAATTGTAGTCGATGACGGCGACCTCTCGGTCCGGCTCTGGTTCAGGCCATCGTGGGGAGCGAAGGGGACTGGGATGCCGTCTCCTCCTTCTGTGAAGCAGTTATGCTTGCCAAAGAGGAGGCAGGGCGCGTGAGAGAACTAACCTACTCACGCCCCAGCTGTCACGGGAGACAGTCCGTCGCGTTCTGCACGTGCCTCAAAGAGCCATCAGACCATCACAGATGGGGCCTAGTAGGGCTGATGCCCTATAAAGAGCTCGCGGAAGGCCTAACGGGTTGCCGGGACTCCGGCTCGAAGAACAGGAGTAGGAACGGGGTGGCTTTTAGTCAGTAAGATTCTGAAACCCCCTTTCGCCTAACTCAATGCGGGAGCTCTTCTCTCTTCTCTCTCTCTCTCTTGGAGACAAAAAAACAGCTCTTCAGTTATTAAATGTGACAATATGATACAGAAATATTTAAAAGTATAGTGTACCGTAAATAATATCAGCAAACTTACCAAGTAAACTTAGACCTCTTGAGCAATCTAATTATGCATTCAGTTTGTTGCCTAGTGTTCTCGAAACTTCCAGAGTTATCTATTACGAAGTGTGACTTCGCCACCTTCTCTTCAAGAGGCATCTGACAAGATATACGTTTCTTAGCGACATTTTCCGAGAAGTCGTTGCGTTTGCACAGCCTTTCCAGTTGCTGGTGATCTTCACTGGAATTTACAACAATTCTATTAGGATGTTAAACCCATTTAACGTGAACCAGACGTTTAACTGAGCACATAACAGCAACATAATTTACAAAATATGAATGTATTTTAATAACATAACTGATGAAAACTGTTATGGTATTGGTATAGGCAAAATAACATTTTGCCTACAATACCACAGTTTGACTTTGTACAAATGTAAACTCACCAAACAACAGTTATAATTTTGTGCATGAAGGTCAACATCTTCCCAGTCTCAAATAACAGCGGGACTTCCATAACAATATAACTATGGCCCGAGAAGAAGTATGATATAGCCATCTTCATCATTGCTCTTTGTATTCTAGGGTGTGTGATGGCATTTAACTTTCTTCTCTTTTCAATATCGTCAAATACAATCTCCCCTAGTCTAGCTCTGTTCACATTACCATCAGAGAAGAGTACTTCGTCTCCAAAGAAACCTCGAAGCTCCCTCCATGCTTTTGTACCAGGCAGCAACACTGGAAATTAGTAAACAAATACTCTTTAGTATTCTGTGGAAACCCATCAACCCCACCAACTACTTGACATTGAACACACAGATATTTGATATACGCCAGCATGTTTAGGCAAGGTTAAACTTAAGATTAGCATTTCAATTTTGCAATAGCAAAGCAATGTCTGCCTAGCGCGTCGTTTCTTGTTAGTAAATGGCTATATGGCATATTGGCTAATTGCATAGCTTACATTAGTATTTTACGCAATCAAAATTGTACTCTATGTGACCTTACAACCTTCTCTCACTAGGTATTGACAATGATAATTAAATAACTAACTGATATATAGGCTATTATATCCTGCAATAAAATATACCCTTGAAATACAGTTGCTTTTAAATAAATTACTCTAAGACCTAAGTATTTATTGGTAGGTAGGTATGTAGGTACTAAACTTTATTGCATTGATGATTTAAAGTTAATAATTAGCTGTTCAATCCCAAAGCGATCACCGGTGCCTGCTCTCCACTAACAGCATTATAGACCTTATTTCCAATGTTTAGAGACTACTTTTGTATGAACAAATTTTTGGTAGGATATATCAACATTTTAAAGCCTGGTTTTAAGTCGTTTTACATTGAGTTTTTATTGAATGCAACATGAAATATGTCAATGCTGTGAATTCAATATAATCTTTAAGTGAATCTTTGGTTGTTATTTTAACAATAGGAAGATTTGCACATGAAGTGCATAAGCCAGACAAACTGAATAAATGTTTCAAAGAGTAGGTCATAGTCGTATTGTGTTTCTAACATCATACTTATTTAGAAAACCTATAAAACATACATAATGTAGGTACTTATTTAAATATTTATATTGTGTCCCTATCTGTGTGTGTATCTACATAGTCACTGCTTACTGCCAGCAATTGCATAGAATAATAACTTGGTTTTTTTAAATGCAACATAGTCATAGATGAATATAAGACAAATATTCATACAAAGATGCAGTTTACTAATAGTGAAAGAATGTTTGAAATTAGTTCAGAATAATTTTTTATTTACATTACAAATATGCATACATATAAAAACATAATATTTCCTTTTTATAATACTAGTAAAGATAGTATAGATTAACGACATAGTTTTCAGAGGTACATATTATGTATACTCGCTACGATCATGTTATAAACACTTTGAAGAGTCTATGCCCCAAATCATAGTCTAATCTAATCTTTTTAATTACCTCTTACTGGTTGTCAACAACATGATTAAAAAAACAATGCAATGCTTAAACTTCAATCCAGTAAAATTACAGTTTCAGTCTAAATTAATAGCATTGGAACAAAATTGATTTGAATTGAATTGAATTTTTATGGGATAAACTGGTAAACATGCCAGATCACCTGATGGTAATCAATTTGCACCGACCTTGGACACATGAAACACCAGATATGTCACAAGAGTATTGCCTGTCAAGGATTGTGGTAGTAGGCCCTCCAATAACTTTCTTTGTTTTTTTGGCCCATTTGAGCCGAAGCATGGCTCTCCCGGACTTCTCATACACTGCATACAAAGATTTGTCTACTTAATTTGATTACAGTAATAGTTTTCTCTATTACTGTCACTAGTTAGTGATATTATTGCTCTACTACTCATTTTACTTAAGTCTTGTTCAACCCTTTGACCGCCACAGTCAGCTATAGCTGACGAACCAAATGACTTTAAAAATCATGTTTTCTTGTCGGTTACAGCCGACTGTCACAGATTACTCAATGTTTTGTCTTTTTATATTATTTTTAAAGTATCATCATGAGTAGTAATTATTAATAAATGATAATGTTGTATGATTATTTATTTTTATACCCAATACAATTATTGGAAATTGATTCATCATCAATTAAATCCATAAAATAAATTATCAATAACTGCTTCGAGTTTACTGGATAGGATCATAAAAATCTGAGAATAATACAGAATTACTTGTCTTAGTTACAATCTCAATTCACTTGATAGTAACATTATAAACTAAAAATACTTTTTCACAGCCAAAATAAACATTGTTGGAGACTTTTTAAAAGATTCATTGAGCTGAGGATATCTAGATATCGGATAGCTATAATAATGCAACTTTTTCGCTTGGCATTCAACTTTTAAGCAATTGCTGGGCAAAACACTTCGCTACGCACATTCGGCTGAGCCTTGCTCTTTACTTAGGGTGTTATTACAGTAGGATATAAGGAAATAATGAAAGGCATTAATTACCTTGTCTTGCTACTTCATCAGCGTCAATTACTGCTATGCCATTCGCTCGAAATATTGAAAGTACTGTACTTTTTCCAGTCGCTAGTCCACCAGTTAGACCTACTATAAACATGTTGTTTGAATAATTTATCTAGAAGCTATGTAGTATAGTACTAAGGATAAGCTACATTCACCGCGGACACGTAAATATAATTAAACGAATTCGACACGTTGATTAATTTAAACAATTTAGCAAATTGAACGCCGCGGACCGCAGCTCGATTTCATTGACAAGTATGACTTTGACACTTGAGACTTGACAGCTAACAAATGGGGGCTGCCATCTCACAAAAACAAATTATTTGTTTTAGAAGAACGATCGAAAGAACGGAAAACACGCTCTTCAATTCGGGGAGAATTTCGAATATTGCATAATTATACATAAATATTATTGTTATTGGTTTTGGGCACTCATTTACCATTTTGACGTGACAACGTCTTATAAATTGGTTTGCCGGGTGACACTTCAAGAAACTGCGTTACGCTCTGCTCACGTTATGCGCTCACAATGAGAGCGAGTGAGAGGCACGCGTCCCTTCCACTTGGGCATGGTTAGCCCGCCTAAGAGCGAGAGAGACAGACATCATTGTCACGTAAAACTTTCGCCCGTATACCGACTTTACAGGCGACCAATTTTTTTTTTTGAACTTTAGGTATAGATTACTGCTTAGCCACTATCTCGCCTGGTAGTAAGCACGCCCAGTTGGTTAGATACTCTAAGTAAGCAGGTAATTTTACTAGATACCGTAAATAAACTTTTTTTCATCCATGAACACAGTCAAATCACAGTTTGGTATACAACAAATAAGTAAAATCTTGGTTAAATTTAAAAAAACTTAGGCTTATTCACAGCACCTACAACTCGAACTTGAGTAGGCAATTATATAAGATTTTAGTCGAAAAATGTAAATACCTACGTAGATAAATCAGACTTTAAATTTAGAGCTAGATACTATTTATAAAATTATTCAGCAAATCAAGCAAAATGGATAAGCAATCTACGGAAGTGATCAAATGTGCAACTTCAGCTGTATTACCATTTTTAAAGTTCTAAAACTATAACATTAAGCGCAGCGCAGTGCTTATTTTAAGGTTTCTAATGTACTTAAGTGTGGGTGAGCCATGCTTCGACCTCACAGAAAACCGACGTGAAACAACGCTTGTGTTGAATTTCGTCGTGTGAGTAGGGATCTGAAACACAATAGGGTAGATGTCTAATTTTTAATTTAATGTCCGTCTAGTAGATTATTTTAAATCATTAGACACGTATTTTTTATTTTCCTTCAGAAACGAATACTTTCGACGATATATTGATTTGAAATGTCGCGTGACGTCACTTCTATGTACCTACATTTTATACGTAGAAATGACGTTTTAGCGCCCACTCCTAAACTTTGATTCGTTAAGTAGTGTTTTAATATACGACAAAATAAAAAAAATACGGATCTAATATTTTTTCATTATACAACTGACGGACTAATTATATTTTTAATTTTCATACCCTATCATCATCCCAATTACCCGCTCTTTATTCCCTGCGAATCTCCAACAATCCTCTAATTCCTAATACGCAAAATGCCGGCTACGCACTTGTAACAGTTCTGGTGTTACGTGTGCGTTGCCGATTGCTTACCATCAGGTGATCTGTCTGCTCGTTTACCGGCTTTTATCAAATAAAACAAAAATCTCGTTTTTCTTTCCTCAGTTCGAATACACTAATATAAGTCTTGCTTATTGATGATACCTACCGTTCGTGTTACACCTGTAACCGTAATGTTAAAATTGACTGAAAAGCGCCAAAAATGCTTATCGCACGTGTTCAGAGAGTGCATGCAGATATCAACTAGCAATTTACCAACTTGAAGTCTTTTGATACATTACAATAAAGTTTAGTTTACGAACTAACCATTATTATGTTAGAAATGTGTTAGTAACCATTTCATTGGGGTCTGCACTACCCCTCAAAAATGTACGGGTTATAGAGAATGGAGAGTACCACTTCTACAATACGGAGGGCCTCATTATTTTGGTCGATAAGCACGTGGGCGGGGAGCCTTGTGTTAGGGCGGAGTCTGATACCGCAGAACCATCCCTCTGACCCTCAGAACGTCACAATGTCGCTAACTGTCATAGGTAGCACAACTCCTGAATTGTTGATACTGATAACCCTGTGTAATTAGAAAGAGATTTCCTAGTCATGTGTTTTGTGATTTAAGATTTAATGCTAGTTGTTTAATTTAATTTTCTCGAAATGGATGGACCTAATGGAATTAGATGTTCTTCTATGGACAATACAAGTGTAGTGCCCTTGCCCGTGGGAGGTTCACCGACTTCAGCAAACAGTTCCGACAATTATATGTACGATGATTCTTCAATGTCTGACGGAAGCCTTTACGCTAGTGATCAAGAAAATTTATCTACTCCGCGAAGAAGGTACCTACTACGATTCTCTCATTACGACAATTTAATATTTATTTATTTTATGTAATTGCTTAGAATTTATTATCGCATCGCAATATTTCATCCTATTTAATAATTGACTTCATATTTTTTTTAATTATTATTTGTATGTAATTTTCTTTATTTCTTTTTTTTAATTTTGGTAGCCAACAGCTTTATTAACAATAAATGAAACAAAGCCAATAATTGGTTTCCACGGCTAGCTACAATATATCTTATAGAGGTTTTGCGAATACATACATGTACTTAAGTTGAAAAATAACGATATCTATTTAGCAAATTTATATTTAGTTGCCTACGCACCCTGGAGCTGCTTTTGATAAATGAATCGAGTCCTAAATCTTTGCACAATTTACTAAAATCCCAGCTCACTCGCACAATGTAGGAGTTCTGAGATTTTTTCGAAACATTAAGCAAAGCTTAAGCAGAAGGTCTGAGCAATCGATCTCGTTATTTAGGATTTTGACAAAATAAGCGCAATCCACTATTCGACAGCGATTTATAAGTGAATAAAGCTTATAAGTGATCAAATCTTTTGTATAGTTCTGTATAGTTTTCCGATCGATACGGTATCTTCAGACGAAAGAAAGCGAACAAATATTTTTTGGATGCTCTTAATGCGGTCTATATACTTGTCATAGCCCATTCCAGATTTGGAAACCGTTTGTATTTTAACTTCACCCAGTCTTAGAGGCTTTCGCTACCATTTTTAGTCATGGTGAACGCCCAGAACTCGCACTTCAAAGCTACTAGATAATATTTGGCCCTTTACACTATAGGTAGTCTGAATTAGGCATTTAGTGGAATTTAAATCTAACCTGGTGGACTGACAATATTTAGTTAAACGGTCTAGGTCAGACTGAAGCGACAGCATATCATTAGTTGACGATCTGAAGGTATATCTTCAAATCATCGGCAAAACAAAGAAGTTTGGAATTACGAATACAAGAGTCATTGACCAATATTATAATTCACCATTGCTCATTCGATCCGTCAGACAGTCATAACCCAATAGGGTCGAGACCATAGACCTACACCTAAGAAACCCGTGCTGAGATGAGCTGAACGATAATTTAAGTGCTGCATATACTTGATCATAGACTACTCTCTCAAATACTTTTGCCAATATGTATATTGTATAGTCTAGAAATTGGTAAGTATTTAATTTATAATTTCATTCTTTTGTGACCCTTTTTATGAACCGCAGTAATAAACGCTGATTTCCAAATAGTATGAGGAATTTAGATGTTAAGTGATCAGGGCCAGCCGACTTAAAAGGGTCGAGTGTACCGATGAATTTGTTTGGTAATAGAATCCAGATGAACTTCAATCATGTAATGTCTGATAGCACATTTGAATGGTTGTCTGCCGGAAACCGATCAAGATCCGAGGCGATGAGGTTCCCATCTGGGGTAAGTATTAAGTAAAGAGAAATTGAGCAGAAAAAGCATTACAAAATGGAGTCGGGTGAAGAAACAGTCGTGTTACCATATTTAAAAATGTTTGGCATAGCATTAGTTCTCGATGTTTTACAAAACTCCAAAAACGTTTAGGATTATCTCAATACCTACCTATAATTCCCTGGCCATCAAATAGTTCGTTGCGTTTCTATACTGTAACCGATTGAATGCACCGATATGAGACACAACAGAAAATGCATTGTATCTCGCGTGGATCCACGTTTAGACACACGACGGGTTAAATACTGTCCCATAATAGCCTAGTCTGGCATTATCAAATAGCCAACCATAATTATTAAATTACCTTATATTTACGGGGGTATTTAGATTTTTACCTAATCAACCGTTTGAGCTATGTGGAGTACCAAACGGGATACGAGTTGTGAGAAACCTTCAATGATGACACATTTTTGTTCTTCAATTCATCGATAACAGAATAAATATATTTTTACTCCTCATCAAGTGTCGTATTAAGGATTGCAGGGCAATCCTTAGCCAATATTTCTTGGTTAACGGAAGTAAAAACACTTTTTATTTCACTTTTTAAACTATTTTTCATAATAGTATCGGGTACTTATATGGAACAAGAGTTAAACGTGAATACTCGGCAAACAGCATAGCAATTAATAATGCAATGTGAAATCTATCACTAGGTACCTTGGTCCCACTATACACTTGTGTATTAAGCATCTACTAAGATATTATCATTACACATGACCAAATTAAGAATACCCCCCAAAGTCATTCAATACCTACTCCGTCATATTGTTGGAGGACCAACATTTGCATTTTATCCGTAAGCACGCACTCATTACGGCTACTAACATCATAAGGTAAATAAATACGGTTTTGTAACTACCATGAAATCAAATTAAAGTCACCCACATTCAAAAATCTATCCATAGAATTGTTTTCAACATACTCAAGGTACGGAGAAAATTCTGTAACTGATCAAAGAATCTAAGGCCCAGGTTCTGTTTACACAAATAGATAAAACAAGTTCAATTTATTAGTGACGGGTTGCCGCAAGGTCAATTTTATTCATAGCGGAGGAATGAAATAATGGTGGTGGTGCGGTATTGCTGATATACCTACATTTACGATCCGCTAACAATACTCCACCCCCTCGAGTTTGATCAGACAGACTGAAATC